TGTTTATTCAACCAATATGCTGACTAAAAAACAAAACAAAATAGAACTAGAGGCACATGGTTTCATATATTACTTAAGCATCAGTATGAAATTCATTCACGTGAGGCGTACACCGATGTGTCGAGACATAGAAAAGATCCAAACATAAGACAGTATGACACAGAAACATCCAGAGTACACCCAGACTGGAAATCGAATGAAGCAATTACGCAAAGACACCAAACTCAGACATGGAGGCCACTGCGGTGCACACTGTACAGCACATATATGTGTGTGAGCCCAGAGGAATAGAACCGGGATAATGTAAACCGCGGAGAAGGAAACGACTAAACAGTCCAAACGACATACAGATGATGATGGAACAGATATAGTGTACTCAGTTAACAGATATTATGCCATTGTATTCAAGAGAGAGAACGAGGCTATTGGGAAGCTTCCTAGAAAGTGACAAACAACGCAGGGTTTCGCCGCGGATAGGCGAGACGAAATCGGGCGTACGTCAAAGTAGAACCACGGTTAATCCTGGGATCGATCCTGATGGCCGGATGATGCATCGGTCATCAAAACCGATGCTGGTAGAAACCTACCAGGAGAGACGGTGGGGAGCGAAAAGAGTGGCACAGGATGGCATTTAAGTAAGCCAGACGTGTCGAGCAGAGTTCCATGAGACAGGGAAACAGTAAGCGTAGGTGAATGGCATCGTCCTTCAGCGGTTGGCTCCTTACACGGAAGTGTGCGCTCAAACTTCGGTCAGGGCGGGGAGATGGATGATGAGGTAGGTTAAGGACACAATCGAGGTCCAGACAGGCAGTCTGGTAGACAAGTAAGCAAGCATAGCGTGGGCCGCGTGAACTCCTATTCGAAAGGAGTAAGGGACAGTCTAGCGGCCGGACACATCAATTCCCGTTGCTAGGTCAACGACGGCCCCATAGAAACTTAGGCTTGTCATCATCAAACAAACCGAATCGAGCTCACCTGAGTTCCCAGTGTGCGACACAAGCATGAAACGTCCAAAACAACAAGGGCGAATCAGTCTTATTGGTTTGTTTAACACATTAACCTGAACAGCACGGTGTTTCGATAGTTTAACAAACCTGGCACGTAGTGCAGCTCTTGTAATCAACACCACTGAAGAAACGATGGCCTGCAGGTGCTTGGGAGCTCCAGACAGAAAAAACCAAATGCTACTGCAATGGGGGGGGGGCGAATCAGTTACTGTGTAGACGAGTCATAGATACCGCAAAATCTTGATGGCAGATTTAGCCAAGTGGTCAAGGTTGCTTACGCAGTTTCCAAGATGGATTATTCGAGCTGCTAGATGTAGTTCCCGTCTTTAAAAGCATATGGCGAACTGTTGGTTGATGCGCTTGTAATGGCAGGCACATCGAGGGTGCAAACCACATGTCAAGTAGAGGAAAAATTACTTTAAGCTTAGTCAGGCGGTCGGACGAAATGCAAAGCGTTGTCACGCGAAGAGCTTAGCGCAATCAGTTTTCTACCAGGCAACACGTTTATTTTCGTACTGTGAGATTTCAAAAGGAAATCTTCGACATGGGAGTCCATGATGAGTTTGAACAAAGATGAGCAGACACGACCCATCCCAACGGCACTCTGTTAGACAGCCATCAAACGCCCCGGAAAGCTATTGGAAGACACTCCAATCCTCGCCGAACTCGTTGAGAGAGCGGATTCCAAAAAGCGGTGCCTCTTCTCTTACAAGTGAGCGGTCAAGATTGAGGGGCCGAGGCGGGGTGGTAACGGTGGACATGATCAGTTGATTGAGTGTAATATGACGCCACATACTGTCAGAAATACACTCGATAATTCGTCCCTGAGGTGATCAGGTGAGTTTCAGTAAGGATAGCAGATAAGACATTCACTTATCTCGTTGGAGCACCTCTCTGAGCAGGTGCATCGAAGAGAACGCGTAGCGATCGGCGCAGCCGAAAGTGCAAACGAAGCGGAAGCACAGAGACTGAGACAGTCTGAGGTATACGCGATGCTGCTCGAAGGCGTTGCTCTCCTGTCGAAAACCAGTCCATTTTCCTTTCCATAGGGATGCGCATACTTTAACAGAGTGGTGGATAGGCATGAAGGACAGTAACTGTATCGGTACTAGCATCAAACAGGTCACTAAAACACCATAGAACAGAATGAATGTGAGGATGTCAAGGAAATGGATAGAGGGATCCAAAGTAGCGAGATACTGGAAACGGATGAGAGACAGCTTGAAGCACAAAATCCAAGCACACTAGCAACAGTGACGCCAGGCATCAAATATGCCCCTGCTCAGGGGAATCGCGAATGCGTCGAACGAAGAGTTTGCCATGTGTCGAGGAACGCAGAAAAAATGGGCATGTGTACCGACTTGTTGGGGCATCAGTGGAATGATGCAGAGTTCACGGGAGGCATATAACACGAAGTGAGCTGCGCAAAAAGGTGTTTTCCGCCGACAGTGAATGTTAGGTGACCAATTTTGTAAAAAAGATGGCCCAAAAATGGTAGCATGAGAAACGCCTGGATTAAGGAGCATATGATGCGTAGGGATTAAAACGAGCGGTTGGCGATTACGTGAGACCCAGGGAGACAACAAAGGGCCTCGTCTCAACGTAGCACATGTATTTTGATGGATGACTTAGTAAAGGTTACTAAACTCGCCGAAGTAGACGATAGTGCATCACTCAAGACAAAGGGCAGTGCCGAAGGGAGCACATTAGGTGGTCCGCATTATGAAGGTTACAGTGAACTGTCGGATCTCATTCTGATGAACAGTACGATAGGGAAGATGCCTTGGAATGTCCCCTCTTGAATCTAGACTGGATTCAGCTTACGCAGAGAAAGTGAACACTAGTTTAAAAACGACGAGAGCGCAAGTAATAAGATGGGCTTAGCCAAATTGAGTTGGCGATCTAAGTTAAATAGGTGTTCGTTGGAAAACCCTTTGTCAGGAGAAGGTAAGCATCCAGTACGAAGCGAAGATAGTAGGATTGAGGCGGTGTGAAACCATGGGACGGTGGAGATCAAACAAAGCAAAGAACTGAAAGGAGGGGAGCAGTCGTTGTCCATTTGCCAGTGAGAAATTCGGTTTAGATGAGGTCGCAAGTTCGAAGTATGGAGGGGGGGTTAGTTTAGGCGTATAGCGAGTGGTCGCTGGGCTCATACAAAAATTGACAAAAAAGCTGCAAACTGCGGTTGATGCCAGTAAAAAACTGAATCAGTTCAAGAACATAGAGACGGGATACCAGACTATACCTTTGTCTATAAGCGTTCGAAAAAAAAGATGAGGAAATAACTCGAGCAATTCAAACTGGTATAGGTTACTTATCAGCCATTCATGAACGCAATCCAGTTCAGGTTGGAGAAAATCGGGACCTTCTATGCTATTAATTACTGGCTATATCTTGACGTCGTCGGCGAAAAGCAAGAAGTGGGAGGAGATAACGCACGCCAGATCTTTAATAAACACTAAGGAATAAGCGCGGTTCCAGCATCGAACCCAGTAGAACACCGCGTTCCACCTCAATCGCCTTAGAGAGTGAGTCCCCGATACGCACTTGAAGCCTCCGTTAATGAAGATAGCTGCCAATCCAACAGGTTCTCGGATTACATAGCTCCCTAGCCTATGAATTAGGATGCGGAGATTCAGATGGTCGAAAGCTTTGAAAAATCCGAGATAGATAACATCAAAGCGGACCGTATCATCGGTCACGTCCGTACAAACTACCACACGCAATCAGCAGGTTGGTGATGCATGATTGGTGTTGACGGAAGCCATGCTGCTACGGTGCCAAGACGTTGCAGTTTTCCAAGTAGTGCACTAAGTCCTCTGCGACGACCGCTTCCATCACCTTCGAGAGCACAGGGAGAAGAGTCGCAGAGCGATAGTTTGCAGAGTCTGAACGGTTACGGCCTTTAAAAGTTGGGGTAATAATGCAATACTTCTGCATAGTGCGGACTCGTTTTTCATCGAAGCATCTTTGAAAGAACTGTGACAAGGGTTCGGCTAGTTTAGCGTTCATAGCCTTCAGGCGAATGTAGTCGGCTGCCAGAGAGCTACGATCGCGCAATGAAAGTAAGTTACTAGCACAGGTGCCGGGTTGAAAATCATATATGTATAGCTTGGAGTTGGTAAAGTGGATGAGGGTTTATGACAGGGACAGGCTGTGTATTTTAGCCGCAATGTATTCGCTGCTTCGTCGGCGCTTTGTACTCTACCGTCTATTATGAGAAATGGAGAGATGCCATGCTTTACTTTGCGGATGTTAGAGATACATGCACAGTAGTTTGCTAATTGTCAAAAACGTTTCCACAAGGGACAGTTGCTAAGTTACTTTGTCCTCAAATACTAGTGTGATACAATGATTGCGGTGGGTCCGGAAGTTTCTCCACGTCACTGAATGTGGATTAGCCTTGTAGCCGCTCCACGCCACATCATTTACAAGGGAGAAATCGCTGCTGAAATCATAACTCATCGCCTTTCTCGTGCACTCAGATATACTTTTCCAGCAGCTAATGTGCAAATCCAGTTTGCCGGTAGCCCAATGGTTAGAACTAGACGGAAAGACAAGAGGTCCATCCACGCCAAATTAATGTGTATTTAATCGTTCGCTTGCTCCTGTGGAGCAGGGTACATAGGCAGAAGGACGAGGCCCGTATCTGAAAGGGTGAAAGAACTCCACCCGGCTTGGTTCATGACTGCTTGCCGATACCAGACTATATCTTTGTCTATAAGGGTTCGAAAAAAAGATGAGGAAATAACTCGAACAAATCAAAAGAGTTATTTCAATCTGGTTCGTCCCAAAAATTGATGCTGCGGCACCGATTGTAACGGCAGCGAAGGAGTGCGATGTCTGTTGTCCACATGAGGAAAACATTGGGACGAATCATGTGATGATATCAGAGCAATCGGTGAACACAAGGTTATCAAGTAAATTCCGTCAAAGAGAAGGAAAGAGTATGGAAATTTCATGGCGCGCGGAAGATTGAAGCGGAAAACATACCTGATGTGACAGCGGGCTCATGTTCATCTGTACCGGAGGTTTTCCATTGGTCTAGTAGGTCTGTAAAACGTTGCAAGAAGTCCACAGCCAACTCTAACAATCCGATGTCGTGGTACACGTCTCTGAATACCCGATACTCGTTTAACAAGTGGATGAAGTGATGCAGCGTTAGAGCGGCACATGAGCTGAAACTGTGGACAATGGGAAGGCGGTGTGTATGAGGATTGGAATATCGAAAAACCGATATTTTGCAGTGATTTAGAGAGTACGGCGGAAAAGGTAATATGGTGTTCGCCTGTCAGGACAATTGGAGAATTGCTCGAGGGCCACAGTAATTAGCATGTGATGAGATCATACAGTCAGAATGGACATACGAGTCCAGGGAATGGACCAGTGAGTCAGTAGGAGACGAAGCTAATAGATTCAGTCATTGGACGCCACATACATGGTCGTCCGGCAATCGAAATCCACTGATTGGTTGGTGTTTGGCTGTGTTGCATTGAGTTTCGCTTCGTCTCTTTGGCGGAGCCGAAGAGGAGAACTTGTTGGCCCAAAAAAGTACTTATAAATGTAGGCGGATGATACTCACTAGTGCATTTTCGCTTACTTATTTTTGAGGAATAAATCCCTTATCCTTGAGGGACAGATGGCTGCAACAGTTTCCCTAGTTTTGCTGACAGTTTGTAGGTGTACTTCAGGAATCGAGGATACGGTCGTTCGCAAGAAAGTAACACGGGCTCTTAACAGACGGAACTGCGATCGATGGGTTGGGTAAACATGGTGCATTGGGCGCACATACGTGGAACAAGGCTAACGCAAGGTACGTCAAAAAAGAGACCGGTAAGAAAGCACGATGATACAGAAGTGCATTGGTAGTCACTCAAGTGATAAACACGGAGAATGGGTTACATGCTCAGCGCAGAAGACCGTGAAATAGGAGAGGGACAGAGTAACCAGTATGCCCTCAACTGGATCAGGGATAAGGTGCCTGGTGTAGAAGCGGAACAGCATCTGGATAACTCAGATGATGTGCAATACGCATATCAAAATTGCCGAGTGCATGGAGGTTGGGTTTACGACTGGGAAGTTGCGACTGCGAAATAGAGCAATTTTCTAAAGCTATAGAGGAACTGCGCGTAGAATAGCATCAGAAAACCGCTATCTTTTGCTCGTCCGGTGTATATAGAGTATTTGTAATTGAGCTGCAAATGAAGCGGTAAGTTACGTATATGTGAGGTAAAGAAGGTATCAGCAGTACGCCGGCACTCAGCACCGGCGATGCGCTGCCGCGTAACCACCAACAGTCTACGGATACTGCGAGTGTCGCTCGGTCCCCTATGCAGTCTCAAATCCGCGCCTCAGGTTACAAGGCAGGCTTGTGATGTTTTAGATTGTGGACTGGACCAGTGCACAGCATCGTGAGACACATTTCCGGTATCTTCCAGGTACTCTAAAAAAAGTCAACGATAACTGATTGGGTAGATTGGAGCTCGAATTTGGCGGACTGGTCAATGGCCTTATTCTGTTAAAGTTTGACCATGCTAATTCGGATGGTGTCCAAAGATGTAGAAAAAACGTGGCTGTTCAGAGTCATTCCTTCAAGAAAATCATCCTTCATACGTCTACTGAAAGCGACTGTAATACTGTTAAAGTCAATATTCACCGACTAGTAGTTATGGAAACAGCAAAAGGTGCGGCTCAAGGCTTGAGAAACAAAGTTTGATGAGCGCGGATGTATTAGAACACTGCTGCCCTTTGTGCGTGGTTGAGAGGTAACGAAAATTCATGGTAGGTGTCGCTTGTTGACTCAATGTGGAAGACGACAATTTACGTCTGGTAAGAGTGACTGACGAAAGCAGAGGCCGTTTTTAATTCTTACTATGAGATGGAGACTCGAAAGGGAAGGGATATCAAAGAAAAAAAGACAGACGATAGGCACTTGTGGGCCGATAGTAACTCTCTGGCCGTCCGTTCGGATAAAGGATCTGTTTTCAAGGTGCCTAACGAGAAGAAAGACAGTGTGCTGGCCCACCGTAGCGACGTTTCGCTGCCACGCAACCACCACCAATCGCGTGTGGGCTAAGGATACTGCAAGTGTCGCCTGATCCCCCACGTAGGATCGAACCGGTGACGTCCGGATTGCAAAACAGACGCCTTGTCCTTAAAACCAACAGTCCAACATATAGGCGTCGACTTGACAGACTGGCTCTTTGACGATGACCAGTGTAAAATGCATGTCACAGTTGACACCTATTAGACCAGGAGTTGTCTGGCCTGAGGCGGGTGGCAGCAAAACCTATGAGCACACTTAGTGGTGCTCTCACAAAATTAGTGATAATGCGTAGGACTCACGCTTCACACCAATCGAATTATGAGCTTATAACCCGTAGTCTGCTGAGTCAGTATTAAATCTGTGATGACAACGCAGAAGCTGGATGGATCTGCCATCTAACGGATATGATTGGCTCTGGGAGCTCATGAAACGTGTCACCGAGTAAAGCGCAGTAGATCTCAGACGCGTAAAATCAATCGCGTAATCGACCGATCTCGTTTAGAGACGTGAAAATCGATCACACACACAGACGCTACGAAGTCAGTAAAGTGCTTAAGTCCGTTATTCGTCCCAACATCACTGAGGCAAGACATTTTAATTTAACTTCTATAAATCAGTTCGTTCGTTTCATTATGCCCACCGTCGAAGGCTATGCCTCACCGTTGTATGCTGATATGAGCAGTATTGGTATTATTAGCGTAAAAGTTGAAAGTATCAGACAAGCCAAAGATCGGATATTGGATTGTTCTCCGAGTCAAAAGAAGCATCAAGTATTACACTTGCGGACCCAACTTCCCTACCCACCTATAGATTCATCGCACCTGCATCTAACACACCAGTTAGACCCAACTTGCCTTCTGCTTGTTTAACCTGTTGAATGCCCCCATCCGTCCCGCTGATGTCACCTCCCTGTGAATTCATCGCGAACATGAGTAGAAGGCATCTGCTATAATCGGCTTGTGTTGTCGGCTTCTCCAGCAAGCACATATCTTTCAGGTGCGTCACCTCCCCTGACCCTACATACAAAGCACACAACACTGGATGTAATTATATGGTTATGCATAAACACCAGTGTGATCTCGTGCACTGACATTAGCCAATGTGTTCTGTGGCAAGAACGGTGATTTGCACCCTTGTTGCGCAAATTGTGAAAACTCGGTTGTGTATGTGTCAAGCGGATACTGTTGAGGTTTATTAACGCTGTTTTTCGATAGTTATTTGAATAGTACCGGCTTCGCTGTTTGTGGAATTCTACGCGTTGCTCAACAGCCCCAAGAGAATGCGTCGCTTACAATTATGCATACTGCAACCTAGTTTATGCCAAATGGATGCATCAAACTTCGATGCGCGCATTATCGCTGCCTAAGTTAAAAGGATGGAAGAAAAGCTAAGGTTACACCGCTTTTGTGTGTTTATCATTGTTGGAGTTAATCATTTTGGTGTGAAATCTATACGGTTTAGAAAATAAGGAAGCAGGATGAAGTATAAAACTCCACAAAGGAGGTTCCGACATTTGACTGAAATAGAAAGTACAAAGTTGCAAGGTACAAAGTTGCTTCTAACATTTCGATATGTCAGCTGTGCGCCCTAACGGCGATTCGCTGCCGCGCGACCATCACCAGTCGAGCGCGGGCTGAGTATATCGCGAGGACGCCTGCCTCTACGCGGATTCGAACCAGTGACAAGGTTGCAAACCAGACGAGCAGACCGCTGCGCCACCGGCCGGTCCAACGAGGTCACTAACTCTGTAAATAATGGCGACCTAACAACGGCAAAGTACACGGAAGCAACTGAAACTTACTCGAGTGTCTTCAAAAGCACCACAATGCTGCTGATCTCCTTCATGGGTACGTAGCGCAACGTTGTGACAAGTGTATCCAACAGATCGAAGTACGCTTTCTGCGAAGGGAAACAAGACAAATATAGCGAAAGCAGGTGGTGAAAACGGTGCAGCATCCACTTGATAGCAGAATTTGTGTTATCATACCATGGTTGTTAGCCATGCGAAAAGACGCTGGAAAAAGGTGAAAAACCGTAAGACTCAAATGTGAACAAACACACCATATGAATTGTAGTGAAAACAACCCTAACGACATCCGCATGAATGACTGGCAATTGGGTACACAGTGGAAAAGTTGAGTTGAGGAATACCAAGAGCTGCCCATCGATCAAGTTGGTAGTATGATGTTGTTCTATGAATAAGATAGACGTAACTACACCGCAACAAGAGCATTCAGAAACTAATCCAATCTGGGCAGAGGTGCCTGTGAAGTGTCGTGACTCGTAGGACTAGCGGGTGATTAGTGATGAATTATGCTGCTTGGCGTGGGGTCACCAACCATCTGGAGCGAAGTTAATCTGTTTGTGATACGTACACTCGTTAATGTTCCAACGCAGCGTGTGCATTTTCCGGAAACCGCGTTCGTTTAGATGAAGTAAACGGGTGAGGGAATGAGGACTTACCTTAAACATATGAAGAGAGAGCGGTAAAGATCCTACACCATCTGAGGGTGAGAGACTACTAAGCTTGGAGCATGGTTGTCGCTGAATTAATCGAGATGATATTCCAGTAATGCGTCAAAGTAAGTAGGTTGTTTGCACACGTAGCTATGGATTCAGGAAATCAATCAACACAGCAGATCACGGGCTTTGGGGCCTTCGCGTATGAAACAGTGATTTTCAACCATTGTGGACGACCTTGATGATGCGACTGGTGCTCGCGTGGTTATGTTCGTGGGAGTTGCAGCGCACCGGTAACGGTTAAGACGAAACCGTGGGAGCTATGCACGTCCAAGCACAAGCGACACATCGTCGAGGTGGAATACTAGAATTATAACGTGTGAAATTCTCGTGCGCGCAAGGGACTGTTTCTGTAGTGTGAAAAGATCAATATGGAGAAGTATGATGACAGTCTTGCACCAGAGAGATGCAGATTTGGTCAAGTCTGTGCTGCTGGAGTAGTTTTTTCTGCGCGACTTTTTGTTTGTACCAGCTATATATTTTTCCGTTCCTTCTAGAAGAATACATCCGGCGATTTCCCTGATGAAAAGATAGTGTTTTATACTTTGGTCAAGGGGACTTCTGATTTTAATTAGAACTGTTCCCACGTGTTCACAGGACCTGATCGGGAAAGGGTGACCTATTGTCTCAAGAGCCATTTCGAGTAGGAAGACTGTCCACAGACGTTCTTACCTGAGCGGGGAAGCTGTTGGTATACGTGTGTGGCACCCAAAGTTCGGTGGTCCGGCAGTGATCTGATCAGGAGTTTTAAATGTGTCAAATAGAGTGAAACGTTCGGAGGAGATCGGCTGCTTACCAAAAAAACATGTGTTAATGCAAGATCAATGGAATAATTTCACATAATGGAATGAGGCTTGGTCCGCTCATGCGAGCAGGAAGTCTGTTGCGGGCACGTCAAATATTCCCGCAAAAACGCGCCAGAAACCCCAGCAGAATGGCTGTGGAAAGCGAGGGCCAATTCCTCCCCACAACGCAGCAGAGCTCAGCCACTCCGAGACGCGGCCCAAACTGCGCACCTTCTGACAATGGTCATTTACAAACTACCACCTCTTCGTGGTGACAGTTTTCCTTAACTTAATAACCCATAGCACTGTCTGTGATCGCCCTTTGTCGGTCGTAAAAGAGCCTACAGAGGACCACTTGTCTTTTCTTTCTCTTCGCCTCAGTTGGGAGTCGGTCGGGTCGCGTGATTGCGTGTGAGTCGTTAGCTGGCCAGCCTTCGCGTCTAAGTCATTAGCGCGCGTCTATCGTAAACCCCCCTCTCGTCTGCGTCCGTCCGAGGCTCGGCGTCTATCCGAACACGTGCGGCTAGGATCGTTCACAAGCTCGCTCAATTATCCGCCTCACCGGCTAAGCCAGCGTCATCAGGACAGCGCAATTCCGTTCGAGTGGTCAGCGTAGCAAGCAATTATCGTAGGCGTGCCAGCGACCCTCTTATCAGGCAATTACGCAATTATCTCAAGAGGCGGCGTTCTCTCAATCATAACAAAGTCGTAAAGCACGGCAGTGTTAAGTGTACCTGAATCACCCTTACGGATTATACAGTGGGCCGTGCGTGTTGAGAAAAGCCAATGGCATAAAGTCACCGCTGCAACTCAATTTACCTCGGGGAAATCGTAACAAGACTTGTAAAATAAGTATATGTTGAATCAACACACCTCACATTCGCTATAATGCCTTTCTCGTCAGATAATCAATCCTGCGCATCAACCTACCAGACAATACCAGGTCATGCGCAAATGTAAGAATAATCTGCATTAAACTTGGAAAATTTCTGAACCAGAACTATAGCATGACCATGTTTCACCGGAAAGATATGCAAAACTTTCTTCCAGAATGGAACAAAAAAGTGTAAAGCCGATGGGAAAACTGTTGCACAAAACCTAAAGCCAACTAAAACGGTATATATCAGAATGTATTAGCAACATAGCACTACCGAATACTTGTCTCCCTCCTGCAACGGTATGATCCCAGTTGTACCTAATGTTTCAATACAATTGTAATTAACAGAACGTTTAAAAGATTTGAGCTAACACGTTTCACCGGAATAACCAAAAACGAAACTGGAACATTCGGTAAAAGTACATATTATTATGACAAGCATTACTAGAGGGCCCTGGACAGGTGGAAACAGGCGAGTTCGGAACAAACAGTACTCCCTCAGGGCTTGTTGTGATAAAACGGGGATGTCTATTTTACGATTAGCTGTGTGATGCAGACGCACTAGTAATCTGTATAAAAACTGTTTCCCAATTGGAAAAGCATGTTATTTCTCAGGAAAATGTACCCGCTCATTGATTCGTTCATTTAGTAGTTACCTTACCTGTACTTCTGCTGAGGTGTGATAAATCTTCTTTGCAAACAAAGCCAGGGTGCACTGAGGTTCCAGGATGAAATAGTTGGCTAAATCTTGCAGGTATATAGACTTGATGGCGTCCAACAGGAGTAGACACAGATCGGTGGATGATGCGGACAGAAATGTGGACTGTAACACATCGAAGGCGAGTACGTTACGCACACTTTTTCTCACTGTGAAAGAGGAAAGCGAGCGAGAGAGAGAGAGAGTGGGAAGACTGGAGATGCTTGCAAAACATGTAGATTGAAATAAGGTAGCAAAGGGAACATATAGATCGTCATCATCAACAGCAGAACATCAACCATTCGACCAAATGCCTTGCTACTGTACAACCATAATGACCTAAAGAATGAGGAAACGTAATAGGGAGAGAATGGGGACCAAACGTAAAACCTTAATGCTCTAAACAAACATTCAGGGTCAAGGCGCCTACACCTTGTGGAGACAACATACCGTCACAAACAGCTGGCTATTGGGCAAAGATAAGGCCGCATCGACGCGGATTTCACTGCCCTGCATAATCCTCGGAACCACTACCCCGCAGATAACAGCAGTAGACACGCTTTAAACAAGCAGTCTGACTAGGAGACGACAGCAGACGTACCAATGGTACCGACTGTGAATCATGCCCTGTAACATCTCGAGCCAAGCGCAAGACGAGTCACCTGGACACCAGCCGGGAAGGTGAGACTTCAATAAATGTGCAAAGTTCACTGTTAGGGAAACAAAACAAAGCTCTCCTCAGTAAACGGTGACCGAGCACACCTGCTTAAGGCAACACAGCCTGTTCAGTGCTGTCATTCTAAGGAGTTAGCTTGATTTTCGCTGGCTAGCATTTGATTACACAAATCATCGCTGCGGACACGTTAGTGCCATCCGACACCAACAATGCTTCGCAGACAATGTTGGTCAAAGAACTGGAGGTGTCACAGGTCGTCAGACCGAAGGGACCGTCTTATTCCACAGATTAGAACGACCATCACTGTGGACTTTCAGACCGAGGGAAATGTTCTTTAAAAGGGTCAAGCGATTGTCTAGATGCTGGTGGTCCTGTAACAATACAATTTGCACTTTGAAGGTGCGAAGCGCATGCCAAATGATGGGACAACTCTAGAGACACTATTCAGGACTGACTGGGCTAGCTAACATCGTTAAACAGCTAGACAATTTCGTTCGCATAATCGAGGCTTACAAGTTTTTCACTAGGACCGTTAAATGCCTGCATTGGAGTGCCGACCCGTAGCCTAAACGTAGAAAGCTTGTCTTGTAATCTGACGGCGCGTGTTCGAACCTGCGTAGAGGCAGGTCGACCATCACAGTATCCTTATCCCACGTGTGACCGGTTGTGGTTGCGCAGCAGCGAAGTGTCGGTACTGCGTAACGGCGCACTGATGCTGATACCATTATGGGAATGCAAACAACCAACGCTCTGCATAAATTGCATTTGCTATCAGTAATATCCCATATGTAATGAACTCCAACAATCCTCACATCTGAATTCCGATGGTATCCCCCACCTGCCGACATAAAAGTGGTAGGACCTGACATATCGTTACTGTTGCTGAACATGTTTACCCTTTCGCTGGAATAAAGCTACTTACCAGATCAGCGGAAAACGTTGCTTATCATCCTCCGTCACAAGGGTGCCTCCAAACAAGAAATTAATGGTTGTCGGCCAATCTATCATATCCATGTATTTGCAAGATTATTAGAGAAACTGATTAAGAATGGTGCGATGAAATTCAGCAATTCGCCGGAGCTAATGGACAGGTCCTAGCATAATTCTTGAAAGATACTTTGAACCGATCGAGTAGTCATGAGTTCAAAAAGGTTTGGAAACAATCGGTTGGTATAGTAGTTTGGTAACGTTTCGCCCTTGACACAAGGGCTTCGTCAGACCAGGTGAAGCATTGCAATTGGGGTGGGATTTGTATAGCGAACAGGGGCGATAACCGCGTTACCCGAGACTTGAATCATGATGTCATTACAGCAACCGTTCGTGATGTCACCTCAGGTGGTTTAAACACAGTGGGAATAGTCCAGGTGTTCCTTTGTGCGTCATGACATTGACGGATAAGCCCATAGTGTTGACAATGGGAGTCGGTCTGCACTTTCCAATCTGATCCACGCACAGATGCTCGTCAAGCTGGCCGGCTTAAAACCGCCCGCCATGCATTACGGAATGATAATGTGTCTTAACATGTCTTACTTCGTTTTTCATTCGAAGCTTTGCAGTCAGGAACAAGGTCGCGCAACGGGATCGTCAATATCCCCTGTGCTGGCGAACCTGTATATGGAAGACTTCGAGAACAGGGCGTTAACAAACACCATTAACTCACCAAAAGTTTGGTGGCGTTATGTAGACGACAACTTTGTACTTGTTAAAAAGGATAAGAAGGACGAATTGCTTGATCACTTAAACTCCATTGATGAGAGAATACAATTTACTATTGAGTTGGAATCTTGTAGCGGTACAATACCATTTCTTGACTGCCTAGTTCACAGGAATGGGGGAAATTTAAAGACGACACTACATCGCAAGCCAACGGATACTGACGGCCTACTCCACTACACTTCGGGTCATCCGAAACAGATTTACGCTGAAATAGACTCAACACTGTTCTACAGGGCACAAACCTTGTGCACGATGGAGGAGGACAAAAAGGCTGCGCGGAAAGTGGCAATGAGCAAACTATTAAAAAGCGGTTACCCACGGCGACTAGTCAAACGTCAATTGCATAAAAGTGCTACACCGGCAGTCAAGACCCACAGCCGAGTGGATAGGCAAGGTCGGAATTCCGTACAAGGAAGGCACTTCCGAGGCAATTCGGAGGGTACCAAACAAGGAAAATATAAGGGTGATCTTTCAGCGAGGTCGAACATTACGTTCGGCGCTGGTACACCTGAAGGACCCCCTTCCCAAGGATAGAACGATTAACTATTTATAAAATTAAATGTAAAGACTGTTGACATGTGTATATAGGCCGAACAGCGAGAGAATTACGCACACGAATTTCGGAGCATAGGAGGCGTATTTCAAGACTACCAAGAAACGAGTTTGAATACCAGGCAATAGTAAAAGACTCGGCCGTAGCTGTGCATGCATTAGACACGGGTCACCAGATAGACCTCGAAAACGTAGAGGTTATTAGGAGGGGCATACGATCAACATCTCAGCGGTTGATTGCCGAGGCGGTGGAAATTGCCAAGTCTGACGACTGCGTGAATAGAATTGAGGGGGTAGAATTCCCTAATGCATGACGGGCGGTTCTAAGCCGGCCAGCTTGACGAGCATCTGTGCGTGGATCAGATTGGAAAGTGCAGACCGACTCCCATTGTCAACACTATGGGCTTATCCGTCAATGTCATGACGCACAAAGGAACACCTGGACTATTCCCACTGTGTTTAAACCACCTGAGGTGACATCACGAACGGTTGCTGTAATGACATCATGATTCAAGTCTCGGGTAACGCGGTTATCGCCCTTGTTCGCTATAAAAATCCCACCCCAATTACAATGCCTCACCTGGTCTGACGAAGCCCTTGTGTCAAAGGCGAAACGTTACCAAACTACTACACCAACCGATTGTTTCCGAATCTCTCTGAACTCAGGTCCTAGCATAGTTTCTTGAACAACCGATAGTGCAAAACCTGCCAATTGCAAGAGCGTTTCGGATTCTATTGACTCAGGATACGCAAAGATACTTCTGTTCTGGTTATGGAAAACGCATTCGATCAAGCGCCCTACAAACGGCTGCTGAAAAAGATTGCTTGCTTTGGAATCCAGGATTCACTCCTAGGCTGGCTATTGTCATACCTGAGCAACCGTTCTCAGGTAGTTAGCATAGTCAACCACCAATCTTCACCACGTCCAACCACTAGTGGTGTTATACAAGGGAGTGTAGTTGGTCCGTTACTGCTCCTGCTCTACGTTAACGAGATCAGTTCTGTTAGTAGACATGATATACCCTTCCTATTTGCGAATGACATAAAGGTAGTCTAAAATTCCGACAAGCTGAACTTCAAAATACACTACTACTCAGACAGGAAGACCTTCACTAACTTGGAAATAGTGTGACACTAGGATGATGTAGTTCTCGACGAGAAAATCTAGCATAATGTAATGCGGTTGACTGACGCCCTAGAGATCTATTACACTCAACAAGGAATACATTTGTGTACAGCTGTCTACCCACGAGCTCGGAATCAGATATTCTTGCACTTGCAACTTTTCCAAACAAGTGGAATACCAAATGGCCAGTGCCAAAAAATCAATGGCTAACATACTGTATAAAATCCATATAACCCCAGTCAGAGTAGAACTCATCAAAAGCTGCACTCGTCACATTTTGGAATATTGCAGTATCATTTGTGGCAGCATGAGGAAAGCTGACAGAGTATCTCTGAAAGCCTACAGAGGTGATTTATCAAACGTCTGCTAGGCAAAACATCCACTAAGTACTATCGGAAATGCTGCCAACAAGTCCAGCTCGATCCACTTTGGCTACGAAGATTGAGGCATAACCTAATGCTTCTGTACAACATGATTCGTCAAAACTCCTACTGCTATTTGCCTTTCCTGGAACTACAAGATAGTTCGACAAGGGAGTTACGCAACAAGGAGTTTACCCAGGTGCAGCGTAAAGCTGCGGTCCAAATTCTCCTTATCAGATATGCTGTCCCGTGGAATAAGCTCCCAGTCACAATCAAAGCATGTGAGAGCGCAACGGGCTTTCGCGTTAAGCTCCCCAATTACCTAAACTTGAAAGCGATTATGACCCTGTTCTCTTGGGAGAGTTTATTTGATGATTTGTACCAAGAAAGTCCAGACAACATCTGATGAGTAAAACAAACAAAGTATTTCACGCAGTGTGATACACCATTAGTGTTGTTACCGTGCCCTAACTCAACTAGTGCACATTGCGTTGGAACACACCTATGAGTAAATACATACCACTGAAACAGCAAACAGTGAAAATCACGCAACTGTTTACCATTCATGCATGAGTATGACATATTCTGTAAAATATGATCTGTGCCAAATGTGGACACAGTTTTTCACTCGAGGAGAAGTATACCTATTATCATTATTATTACTATTACAATATCAGCATCGTGAGATTCGTAACGGGCATCTAGTAATGGAGTCCAAGACGAAGTTGGACAGAAATG